TAGATAAAACTAATCCTGAACATGGGCAGGGACTGGATTACTGCTTCTTTATATCTTTACCAAGTGCATCATGCTGTGCATATCTTAGGTAAGCCCCAGATATTTTTTGAATTAAAGAGAATCAAAAGCATTTGTCCCATATTCCATGTACAATTTTGATAACTCTATCAAGAAACTTTCTGGATTTCATTATAATTTAAATATTAGAAAATATTCATGCTATAAGCAAATGAGTAGCTGTTTTTATATTAATATATGTAATTGTACAAAAGACAAGTCTGCTCACACTCTGAAAGGACCTTTCTAACCACACATGAGATTCTCTGTCCTGAGAGTGGCTTTTCTTAAATATAATCTTTTATAAATAGATTTTTTAGAATCTGCTTTGCTTTGGTTACTCCATGTGATTTAGAATGATGGTGTACTCAGTGACCATAGCACAGCTCATGGTCATTGACAGAAAATGGTGGGATAAGTATGGAGTGCTGAGCTCTGTCTTTGTGTCTCTCTCTCTCTCTCTCTCTCTCTCTCTCTCTTTTTCCTTTCCCTTCTCTGGAAAATAATAAAAAATACAAAGAACATTCAAGCATGATCTTTCCTCTGATTCTCATGTTTTTGTTGCAAAGTTGGTAATTAGTAAATTAAAAGATTAAGTCTTGCTCCCTTGAGAGATGGAAAGATAAGACAGTATCATAGAGTATGTTCTCCTATTGCTACTGGGCAACTTTCACGATTATCTTCCTGTCTCAGTACATAGAAGTTCCTTCTTATCCAAGTTTTCACTTTCCATGGTTTCAGTTACCCACTGTCAATCTGGTCTGAAAGTAGGTGTATAAAGTACACTAAGATATTCTGAGAGAGAAAAAGAGAGAGAGAGAGAGAGAGAGAGATATCACATTTACATAACTTTTATTACAATATATTGTCATAATTATTCCGTTTATTAGTTATTGTTGCTAATCTCTTTCAGTGCCTAATTTATAAATTGAACTATATCATAGGTATGTATGTATAGGAAAACACATAGTATATATAGGGTTTGGTACTATCAGAGAATTCAAGCATCCACTGGGGGTCTTGGAATGTATTACCACAGATAAGCAGGGGCTACTGTATCTGGCTGCAATTCACTATAATACTCCCATGACTTTTAGAGGCATTTCAAATTCCTGATCAGTTTTAGGTAAGTAAATAAAAGTGTATACCTTAGTGGTGTTCTGTTTTACAAAAACAGAGAAGAAATCTTTTGAGTTTCATTTTTATATTTGAAATGTTAACCTCATGTAACAAAGGGAAGACTGTTACAATTTGTCAGAGGAAAGGTCTTGTACCCTACCCTTGACTGTGTGACACTTCTCTTTCTCTATTTTCCTCCTCTTTGTTCTTTCTAACTCTTTCTTTCCCCTCTCTGCCTCCTGCTTTTCTACATCCTCCTTGCTTGTGTCACAAGCTGTTATCAGCAATCAACACTATCGGGTAACCTCACTAGAGCTGGTGGTGAGTAAACCCCGATCTTCCCTCCTTCCTTCATTGAAGGCATTCCAGAAATATACATTGAATTTACTTCCTGTATTCTTTAAAAATACCACAAAATCCAGGACAGAAAAAGCTAAAGCAGCCCCCGTTGGCATTGCCATGAAATACTAGACAGCTGCAGTGCAATTCAGAAATTTTCACTGTTTCCTGTTTCTTGAAGACCTCAGAAGCAAATGAAGTGTAAATCTTGAAAGTTCTATTCTGAGCCAAGTTTTAAGGTTCAGGCAGTAATTAGCAGTTATACTGAATCAAACTTTTTTTTTCTAAGTACCCAGAAATCTAGAATTTGTCTTGGCAGGTACTCAGGAATGATTTTCAGTATAAAGCAGGAAAAGCAGTCAAGAGAGGCACCACATGCTGTGGGAAGAACGCTAATTCACTGTAACTGTTGAAGGCAAAGCCATATATATGGATCTGATTTCTTTCTGAAACAAGAGTTGGCTGGAGTTAACAGCATGTGTTGGATCTATATGGTGTGAATCTGTAGCCTTTGGCAAAGAAGAGAAAATTCCAGGTGTTAAACATTAAACTAGGAATCCTGCTTCTGCTTAAAAGCAACAGATCCTATATGACTCCAGTTCAGTTTCTTCATCTACAAAATGGGGATATGCATCTACTTAATAAGATTTTTGCAAGGAGGAAATAAGATGATGTCCATAAAGTGCTCAGCATACAGCCTGGCATGTAAGGCTTAATCAATGGTAACTACTGTTACATTTATTGAAATTATGAAAGTTACAGAAATTATGATTTAAGCCTTCCATGCAAAAAGTGAAAGTGAAAGTAGCATCCCAAATAAACTGAAGCTCAGTCCCAGGCACTTCTGTCTTTTTCCCTAGTCTTCCAAGGTAGTTGGCCTTTGCAAGTATATATGTGTATGTTACTTGTCTGTCTGTGTTTGTGTCTGTGTCTGTATCTGTGTCTGTGTCTCCTGCTTTCCCGCCCTATCCCAGACAAAGGAGGTGGTGGGAGAAGGAGCAGGGATTGTTACTGAGTGATGGATGAGTGAGGTTAAAATTCAAGCTTGGGCTAGAGGGGAGGGATTAAATTATCTGCACATGTTCCTCCTGTTGGAGTCAAGAATTTCGATTCATAATAAAAGTTACAGGGTTATGTAGTCATCTGTGAATTCATGAAACACAGCCCCTGCTGGGAAGATGGGACCATTTCTGGACAGATGTGTGTGTTCCAAGGAATCACTATCTTTGGAATTGGTCTTGTTAGGAACTAAGGGATTCAGGTTCTACGGGACATTGCAGTTTTTCTTTTGGCTGCAGGAAGACTGAATGTTATGGGTTTGGGATTGAGTTTAATGCAGTCTATTTTAAAAACAAAAGCACATGAATAAACAAAAAATTAGATGCAGTATATAACAATGGTTTACTGAAATGTTGATAATCTATTTTGCATGCATATTTTGCCCGGAGTAAATGCCTGAATTCCTAATCATCAGCAGTTTCTCTTGCTATGTGCAGCTTTCTTTCTTCTTGGCCATCTTCCTAAAGCCTTCTTAGCTGGACTCTTCGCTGTTTGGTCTGTTCTCTGATTCTGTTGTAAAGTGTCCTATAAATTTACTGTCTAGGTAGCAAGTAGTTGTTTGCCCCCAGGAAATGTACTTGTGTGCTTAATTGTTTGGTCAAGTCTTCCCCATCCATCAGGTTGGTGCTCTTCCAAGATTGCAGTCTGATGTAAAAGAAATATGTTTCACGCAGACTTTTCTATATATGTTAGCAGTGATGGGTAGGAAATTCTAGAAGGTATAAAAATCATTCAATCCTTATATTTTGCTGCCAACTTTACATGGAAAACTAAGTTTTAGCATTCAAATGATCCAACAAATCATCATCTGAAATGACATTTGGCTACAAAATGTAGGTAACCATTTGAAGATGGATAGAATACTGTTAAACCTGGATATTTATGCTTTAAATATTTATATAAGATTTATTCTGCATAGGAATAAATGAACCTGCATAGAAAAATTAAGGAGCATCTGGGTGAAAATAAAATGTTTGCTAGTGTCACTTTAATTTCTTTAATTTGGTTGAAAGTATTATTTCCAATGTATTCTATGCTTTCTCCAGCTGAGGGATAAAATAATTGCTTTTAGTAGATTATATTTTTCAATCATTCTCTCCTTCATGTGCAGTCCTGGTTCTGAGACTAGGGGACAAGACACTTTTTGTACCCAGAGAATGCTGCTTTGAGTAGAGTTTATTCATGAGAATGCACCTTGCCTGCCACTTTGAGAGAAGCCCATTACATTCATCATAGTAAGCCTTTTGTAACTATTTCTTGATGAATTACACAATCTTCTCACTTGAATAGCAGTCGGAAAACTGGTTGAGGCAGGTCGGGGTTTAATACAACAGTAGGAGGCCATGGTATGGAGAGGAAACTCAGGAAGAGGAACTGGCATGTTTAGAGCAACAAAGGGAAACAGAGAAGGTGAGGCTGGACTCTGTGGTGGAAGCAGAGTGATTTAACACTGCTTCTTAAGCTTCTAACACCTATGGTGAAAGAATAGGTTTGTTTGGTTGATTGGTTTTCTTAAATTTTGAATCTGTTGAGGACCAATACTTTTGTAAAATTCAGTAACAATAAATTACTAGAAAAAATTATCTTGTGACCTGACATGGTGAATCACCCCTGTAATCCCAGTAATTTGTCATAAAATTTAAAAAGAAATTAGCCAGGTGGGTGATGTGCACCTGTAGTCCTAGCTACTCAGGAGGCCGAGGCTGGAGGATCACTTGGGCCCAGGCTGCAGTGAGCAATTGCCTCACCACTGCATTTTTAGCATTGACAGAGTGAGACTTCATCTCTAAAAATAAATAAGTAAATAAATAAAAATGATCATGTGGTATTAAGGCTTCTAAATGCTTACTTTCTATTTATGTACACATCTCTCTGTGAACCAGTTTAAAAAAAAAAAAAAAAAAAAAACAGTTCACTGACACTGGGCTGCGGGGCACACTGAGAAACACTTGTTTTGAGAATGGTCAGAGCTGAACTGGAAAGAGATTGGCACTAAATTGTGAAGAGCCTTGTATACCATTATAAGGATTTCAAACTTTATGCCATCAAAATTTGGACCAACCTGAAAGTTTTGCTCTTTATTATCTTCCTGGATTTGCACTGTAAATTAGTTTATCTAAAACTTTTGTGTGAATAGATGTTTGCTTAAATGTGTATTTAAAAAGCTATTTTAGCTTAGCAGTTAGTGTCACATATGTTGCTCTATACTTTTTAAAATTTTGTAGTTAAATAATCTTGCTTTTGAAAACTCAGCTTTATTTGGGTAAAGGAACACTTGACATCCCAGTTTTCCCTTCCTCCTTCTCTACCTTGTGTCTGTTTTCAAAAGAGCGGGTTGTATTTTACTGCAGATTTCTCAGGAGACCAGAACTGATCTGCCAGCCCTGCTGCCTTTTGTTGCTCTGCTCTTTACATTGTTTTTACAGTCACCAGGTGTCAAGATGCTGCGAGTCCATAGGACTGGACTGGGCAGGCTGGAGGTCAGCCTCTCCAAGGGTCTTCACCACAAAGCTGTGTTGGCCGTCCGGAGGGAGGATGTGAATGCCTGGGAGAGAAGGGCCCCTCTAGCTCCCAAGCACATCAAAGGCATCACCAATCTGGGATACAAGGTCTTGATACAGCCTTCGAATCGACGGGCCATTCATGATAAGGTAAGCATTTCCAATGTTTAAAATATGTGAGAATAAAGTGAACCTGCATATGAAAATTAAGGAGCATCTCAGTGAAAATAAAATGTTTGCTAGTGTCATTTTGATTTCTTTACTTTGGTTAAAAGTATTATTTTCACCCTATTCTATGCTTACTCCAGCTGAGGAATAAAAGAACTTACTTTTAGGAGATGATATTTTTCAATCATTCTCTCCTTCATGTACAGCCCTAGTTCTGGGACTCGGGGGACAAGATTCCATTCTTGCACCTAGAGAATGCTGCTTTGAGAATGCACCTTGCCTGCCACTCTGAGGGAGGCCCATCATGTTCATCATTCCACTTGCTCTTCAAAATAATGTTATGGTATAAGTTTGACTCTCATTCCCATTTTAGCAATATACATATATACGTATACTTTTCCTTTCCTGAACCATTTTAAAGTAAATCACAGACATCGTAACTCATTACTACTAAATACTTCAATATGCATCTCCTCAGAATAAACCGTTTTTTCTACATAACTACAATATTATTTTCATACCTAAGAAATTAATAATTCATAATATCATCTTATATAGTTCAAATGTTCAGATAGTTCAAATAGTTCTATGTTCAAATTCCCCATTGGCTCAAATGCCTTTTATTTTAATTGAGGCTTAATGAAGCTTTATTGCATTCTATCGTTGTGTGTGTTTAGTTCTTTCAATCTAGAACAATACATCCCTTTCTGATTTTGTTTCAATGATATTGATATTGACATGGACTCTTTTTAAAAGAGCCCAAGACTTACAGAGTGTCCTCTACTGGGCACGAATAATCTGGTTGTTTTCTCGTGATTAGATTATATTCTAGTTATATTCTATATATTGAACATAAGTGATATATGTTCTTCCCATGGCATCACATCAAAGGCACAAAACATCAGGTCGTCCCATGGTTAGCAACGTGTGGTCACTTGGTTGAGGTAGTTACAGTGAGAGCTCTTCATTGTTAAAGTCTGTTTCATCCTTTGTAATTACTGAGTCATCTGTGGTATGGTATTTTAAGTTCTGTGATGTTCCTATTCCTCAATAACTTTACAACTAATTATGTTAGCCTCCATTGATAATCTTTGCCTGAATCAGTTTTTACATGGAGACTTGTGAAGTGATGCTTTTCTAATTTTTTATCACTCCCCTAAGTTTGTTTGCTGACATTCTTCTTTAGAAAAGAAGTTTTATTTTCTTTCTCTTCCACTTCTCCATTTTTTGAGTTGTGAACTGTTTTATTACAGTGCATTGAACTGTTTACCAAACTGAATTCTGTAATTCAGTGTTTAAACATACTTCTTTAAAAAAAACTTTCTTACCATTGCATTTAAAGCCTTGTTGTGAGGAGTTTATATATACATCTTCATGTTGACAAGATGAATCTTAGGATGTTGCTTAAAAGATGAGTTGTGTACTGTTTTATTAAAGTGAACTGAATTGTTTATCAAAGTGTGAACTCTAATTTACTGTTGCATTATGCTTCTTTAATTTTTGCTTTTTTGAGTATATTTTGGAAGCATGGATCTTTTTCATTCAATCCATTTACCATTATTCTTTTTAATATCTGAATCACCCCAAAATTGGTTAGTGTGAGTCCTTCCAAGGGGGATTCTCTGTCCTTTGGACATGAATCCGTTTATCTTTGAGCTTTCTTGTTTCTTAGAATAACAAATTGTCCTAGTCTCACCTTGTACCTTTCCTGCCCCACATCAGGAAATTAATAATTTCACCAAGAAGACTAAATTTCTTTTAGTATATAGAAACCGAGATCTGGTATCTGGTGTTAAGCATGTTTATTGTTACTGAGATACTGCTGCTCTTAGGCTTTATTAGTGTACAGAGTTTAGAAATAAACACAAACAGATGCCCACACACACACACATATATATATATTATTTAATCATTAGTTAATACTGATACTAAAAGACTTCCAGAGGAAAAATTAATGTCCAGGAAAATTAAAATTTAACATTGCACAACTTTTTACCTTTAAAATTTTATATTTGCATTTGTTTTCTCCAACAGTAAAAAATCTTAATTCTTTAACATTAATGCATATTGTTTGCTTTATCCTATAATATGTATTAAATAGTGTCAGAATCACAATACTATTATTACAACTAACAGTAAGCCCACTAAATGAAGTTTACCATTTCTTTGATTTTTTTTTTTGCCTTTAGAATATATTTGACAATGAATATTCAGAGTGTTGTATTAAAAAACTTATTTGAATTATTTTTTCGGTGTGGTTTCATCATCAATCTAATATCCATCTAGATTTATATATTATTGCTTCTATTCAGTTTTAATGTTTGCTTTCCCTTTTTTAATTTAATTTTGTTTTTCAAAGTAGAACATTTACAAATTCCAGAAATGAAGTCATATTTTCATTTTACTCCCATACATCCAATTCTCACCCACCCCAAAGGTTACTTTTGTTTCTGATCTATCATTCTTTTTTATTTTTTTGCAAAAATGAACACCTGTGTGTGTATTTATTTCCCTTTTGTTCTTATACAGAAGGCTGTCTACTATATTAACTCTTTTTACCTTGCTTTCTTTCTTTAGTAACAACGTATCTTGAACATTGCTCTATGTAAGTTCTTAGAGCTATTTCATTTCGTTTCATTTCATTTCGAGGCTGTGTGAAAAGTACTCCATTGTACAGATTTACTATGGTTTATTTACCAATCTACTACAAATGAGAAAATGGACTGTTTTTGAAGAAACTAGGGAGAAATTGCATGTTCATTCTTTAACTATCACTGTTATTCATCTCTACTTTCCTTCGAAGTAGATTCCTAACTAAACTTATCTTTTGTTCAACTGCTATCATAGATGCTCTTTTAATTCTGCTTGGGTAATATCTCTTTATTTAAAAATCAGATATGTCTGTCTGTTGCTTCCATGTACTAGCTATGTAATCTCAATTAAGTTTGTAAGTCTCAGGTTTCCCATTGATTGAATGAGGATTATAATTGTACTTACCTCATGAGAGTTCTATGAAATTTAAATGAGATAATTCATGCAAAGAGCTTAGCAAAGTACATAGTAATTTATTAATACATATCAATGATTGTTGCTTATTACCCAATAAAGCTCATATTAGCCATAATGACATTCAACCTGCATTTCCAAATCGATTTACTCGTATGCTGTAAATGTCTCTTTACTTCTCTCCCTTTGTATTTTTATACATGCCTTCAGTGCCTCTTACTGATATCACCATCTGGTGTTTCCCATCTTCATTTCTCTAAATTTCAGGTAACCTTTCAGATTAATTTAAATTTTCATATTTCTTTAGTATCCTACCTTTCAGATTAATTTTCATATTGTTTGATCATCCTACCTAGGAATTATCTCAATATCAGTTAAAGTAGCATATCACTTACGTGCTGCTGATCATAATATTTTGAATTTTTCATTCACTCCAATCCAGAGTACCTTTTACTATATTTTGTGAGCTCCTTTATAGAACAAATTTTGACAGTCTTTCCTTGTATCTTACCATCTCATCTCTAGCACAGACTAATGTACAGTAAGGACAGTAATAAATACTAACTGAGCCAACACTGAAAAATAAATGTTATAATTATGTCTTATCTTTTAAAAATACAACTAATAAATCACAATTTGGCATTTAATATTTCAGTGTACTGTTGGTACAAAATATACATTTCACAAATATGCTTAAGTCACATGTGCTAGTGGGATATGACCAAATTATAAACTCTTCTTAAACATATGTATATATATATATGCCGAGTTTTCTAATTGTTTAATGCTCTAAGAGTTGACCATGATAGATTTATCTTTAGCCAGTAAGTACAAACATTACAAGTAGTTGTTCTATTATTTGTTCTAATTCATACAGATTTTATTCCTTCAAAAGATTTGTTGTGCCTTTGTTTGCTACACATTTTATTCAAGAAAACATGGATATTACAAATCAGGATAATAACCTTTAATCATAATTACAATTTCAGGACTATGTCAAAGCTGGTGGCATTCTTCAGGAGGATATTTCCGAAGCTTGTCTAATTTTGGGAGTTAAAAGACCTCCAGAGGAAAAATTAATGTCCAGGAAGACTTACGCATTTTTCTCCCACACAATAAAAGCTCAGGAGGCCAATATGGGCTTGTTGGATGAGATTCTAAAACAGGTAATTAGTGATTAATATTCTTGAATATACTGCCAAGAAGTATGGCATATAAGTTAGTTTTCCTTTCTTCTTTAGTTTAAGAGGAACATTGCATTCCTTTTATATTCTGAAATGGAAAGAATGTTAAAAGCTTTTTCCCTAAACAATTTACCAGTTTATAAGGTCAATTGGCCAGATACTACCAAATAGAATTTTAGAGCTGAAAATAACCTCAGGGATCATATAATCTACTACCTTATTTTTCAGATGGTACCCAGAGAGGTAAAGTGACTTGACTGGATTGCACACTATGTATTATGCTGGAACTGAACTAGAGGCAATTTTTTTTTTTTTTTTTTTGAGATGGAGTCTTGCTCTGTCATCCAGGCTAGAGTGCAGTGGTGTGATCTCGGCTCACTGCAACCTCCGTCTCCCAGGTTCAGGCGATTCTCCTGCCTCAGTTTTCTGAGGAGCTGGGACTACAGGTGCCAGCCCACATGCCCAGCTAATTTTTTGTATTTTTAGGAGAGATGGGGTTTCACCGTGTTAGCCAGGATGGTCTCAATCTCCTGACCTCATGATCCGCCCACCTCGGCCTCCCAAAGTGCTGGGATTACAGGTGTGAGCCACCATGCCTGGTTGAGACAATTTTTACATTTATTCATATTCATAAGGGAAAATGTATTTTGAGATATAAATACTATGATAAAAACTAGCAGCTGTTTAAAACACAGGATATTCATTTAACAAATATTTACTCAGTGCTGATGCTATGTCTGACACTGTTCCAATGCAAGAGCAAAAGAGTAAAGTATCTTTATCTTCACAGAACTTACATTCTAGTGGGAGGAGACAGATAATCAATGACTAAGACATCTAATATGCCACTTGGGAATATGTGTGATGAAGATAAATATAATATTGAAGGAGAAAAGGAGTCCTGGGCACTGGGAGGTGATGATGCTATTTTAAGTAGGATCGTCAGGGAGGATCCCACTGTGAAAGTGGCATTGAGCAACAATCTGAAGGAGGTGAAGGACCAAGCCATGTACATCTGAGATGAGTCTTTTAAGCAGACAGAATAGTAATGCAAAGGCCCGAAGGTCTGTTTGAATGTGGGGTTAGAGTAGACCATGTTCAAAAATGCTTATTCTGTCTCTTGTGTCAATAATGATTGGAAGTGGGAGGAGGAGAGCAACATTACTAAGAAGGCTGCTAATCTAGGCTGGTCTAGACTGCAAGTCACAAGTGATGGTGGCCTGCACCTGGAAGAAATGGTGGAAGTGGAAGTTGTGAAATGTGGACAAATCTTGGATGTGTTTTACAGGTGGACCCTACAGGATTCACTGATGACATAAAGGTAGAATATGGAAAAAGGAGAGGAGTCAGGAACGACTCCAGGTTTTGGTCTGAGCTACTCGAAGCAATTGCCATGGAATGACGTGATGTTACTATAAGAGAAAAAGCCTGGGTGGGCAAATCAAGAGTTGAGTTTAGGGTCTGCTGAGTTTAATATTCTATTAGACATTTAAAGGGATAATCTAAGAGGGCTGTTGGATATGAGCCTGAAGTTCAGGACGGCAGCTTCTTCTGACATACATTTTGTAGTTGTCAGAGACTAGGTGGTGTCTAGAGCCACGAGACTGGATGAGCCTAGGAAGGGAGTATAGAAAAAGAAGTCTAAGGTTCACATCTTCAAGATGTTACAGCTAGAATCTGAGATTAGGGCAGATGATTGGAGAGTTCATAAACAGTAAAAGCAATGGAAAATACCTATTATATAGAAGTATAAAATACTTTCCAATTAACTCCAAATACAGTAGACCAGGGTGACAGTTAATTTGTAGTGTTTCTAAAGAATAAGTTCAAAAGTAATTAATGGAAATAATACTATAGGAAAAATGTTCCACTTTAAGCAAATAAAGTCTTTATAAAGTACTTTAGGAACTTTTTTTGTTATTTTAACTTTTGTTTATTATAATAAAATTAACAAAAACTGACCTAACAGGACTGCTTTTGGGCAGCATTTTGTAACCAATTACTTGGAGTTGGAAGAATGATAAACATTCTTAAATTCACGAACATGATAAAAATTATATGATCTTTGAGGAAATAAAATTACTGTTTAAAATAGTGTATAATTACAATACACTAATATATTTTAAGCATGAATTACTAATACTTTCCTGAGAGAGGAAAGGTTTTCAAGGAAAGAGGAAGAATATGTTTTTAGTGAAGGCAAGGAAGAGAAATGGCATAAGGGTGGACTATGAGAAAAGGAGAGGACTCAGGAATGACTCCAGGTTTTGGCCTGAGTTACTCAAAGGAATCATGTACTGCTTTTAAGAGGAAGGTCACCTGTAAAAGGAAGGAGAGGGAAAAAGAAAAAAAGAGGAGAAGGAGGAGGAGGAGGAGAGAGAAAAATATCTGTGCTTGGACTTGAGAGAGAGTGTTATTATTTTCCAGGTAGAAGAGACCTGAGTGTACTTAGAATGGTTGAGGAACAATGTAAAGAGGGATGATGCAAGAAAGAGGTAATAGTTCAAGAAGAGTGGTCTTGGAGGACATGAGAGAAGCTGGGATCTAGATTACAGAGATTTGTCTCAAAAGGGATCTGTTTTCTTCGACCAGAAGGAAGGATGTAAGGATGAGTGGGGCTATAGATATGTTTGTAGATGGTGCTGGGTGGGTGGGGCCAAAATGGTAAAGGAAATTCTACCTTTATTATTTCATTGCCTACCATCAAGGGGGGTATAGCACCTGCTACGAACATTTTTTTCATTTCTAATTACAAGCCTACCATTGGTTTGCTACCTGGCATTTTCTAAATATTTCACGGTATACCTGATGGTAACTTCTGTTAGCAAGGCAAGATGTATTTCAGAGGAAAAAATGTGAAATATTTACTTGCTCATATATGTCTTTACTTGTTAAAATTAAGCCTAATGGGTCCAGTTGAAAAATTTTTAATCCCCCTTTCAGGAAATTCGCCTTATTGATTATGAGAAAATGGTGGATCATAGAGGAGTACGGGTAGTGGCATTTGGACAGTGGGCCGGTGTGGCAGGTAAGTATGCCAGGGCTTACATCACCCAGTTTCTAAATTGGCTTGGGGAATAACTGTGAGTTTTTTCTGTGGCAAGGGGATAGGAGTGTTTATTTCCATGGAAAAAATTAAAATGAAGGTATGCTGAAGGATGATGAATACAAGTGGAATAAAGTATAAAGATACATGGTTAAAAATATTTTACTGCAAAAATTCAAAAGAAAAAGAAGGGAGAAGGATAACAACTACAAATACGCTCTGGTTTTTAGGCAGTTCCTTTCAAAATGCTAGAAGGAGATATCAGTTTGGTAATGAGACATAGGGAAGGAGAAGATAGGGAAAAACAGAAAGGGAAAAGAGGTCCAGGGACAGGAATTTTGTCAAGTTAATTCTTTGAACTTTGTTTGGTTAAGAAACACCACAATATGTTATAGCTTTGTTTCAGATCAGACTTCTTGCAGGTCTAATAAGGAAGATCATGACTTTGGCATTATTTGTTTGACCTTGTTATATAAAAGTAGAAGATTCCTTATTATGGCTTATGTCATTCTGCTTATTATTAATATTATACTCAAATCCACCTGCTTCTTAAATAATAAAGAAATCTAAGCCAAAATTTGAAATTCAAAAAATTTTTTCACTTAAACCCATTCAGGCAGGGGACAGTAGCTCATGCCTGTAATCCCAGCACTTTGGGAGGATGAGGCGGGCGGATGATTTGAGGTCAGGAGTTTGAGACCAGCCTGGCCAACATGGTGAAACCCCGTCTCTACTAAAAATACGAAAATTAGCCGTTGGTGGTGCATGTCTATAATCTCAGCTACTCGGGAGGTTGAGGCAAGAGAATTGCTTGAATCCAGGAGGCAGAGTTTGCAGTGAGCCAAGATCACGCCACTGCACTCCAGTTTGGACGACAGAGCAAAACTCTGTCTTTAAAAACAAACAACAACAACAACAACAACAACAAACAATTCATTGCTTTGTTCTCTCACCTCATACCTTTCCTCACCCAACACACAAATCAACTCTATTAAACTAAAAGAAAATTAAATTTCTTAGTATAAAAGCAGTAGTAGAGAGACCTCTGATGACTATGATTCCTAGGGCCTTTCAGGACTCATCCAGGTGAGGGTTTTATTTACCTAGACAGAATTAATACATCAGAATTAGGTGATTTATTTAGAAGTCACCATATTCAGAAGTAGGACCACATCTGTGAACAGGATGTAGTTCATGTTCTTAAAGAAGCGTTCAGGCTAGTAAACACGAATACAATGCTAGTGTTAATTGCTATAAGAAAGATGTTTGAGGCTGGTTGCGGTGATTCACACCTGTAATCCCAGCACTTCAGGAGGCCGAGGAGGGTGGATCACCTGAGGTCCAGAGTTCAAGACCAGCCTGGCCAACAAGGTGAAACCCCGTCTCTACCAAAAATACAAAAATTAGCCAGGCTGGGTGCCTGTAATCCCAGCTACTCAGGAGGCTGAGGCAGGAGAATCGCTTGAACCTGGAAGGCTGAGGTTGCAGTAAGCTGAGATCACACCATTGTACTCCAGCCTGGGAGACAGAGTAAGACTCCATCTCAAAAAAAAAAAGAAAAAGAAAAAGAAAAGAAAGGTATTTGAACTTGGCTGTTGCAAAAACATTCTTTTAAAAAGTGCCTTTGAAGATGAGATTGAAGAATGATTAAAAACTATTCAAGGAAGTAAGGGAGGACAGTACAAGTGTGCAAAGCTTAAAGTGAAGAGGGGAAAAATAATAGTTTTGAGCAATAGAAATAAGTTCAGTATGATTATATGTATATGGAGAGAACTATATATGGTTCTTATAAGTATTTAGAAGGTGGAATTCACAGGATGTGGTGACTGATTGGATGTAGGTGTGAGGGCAGTGAGGGAGACACTTTAATGATGACATACAGGTCACCAACTTGGACAGTGATTCAGTTCTTTCAGTACCCACAGGAATGGAGGAAGAATTTGGGGGAAGACAGTAAATGTGTTCTGTATAGGACAATATATTAGTAGATTACAAACTACATTGCTATAATGGAGACTCCACAAAACAGAGCTTACATAAGCTGGAAGTCCAGGAGTGAGAAATCAAGGGATGGTGGAATGAGAAGAAAGTGTTGCTATTGTCAACACTTGACTTTCATTTCTAAGGTGACCCTTCAGGTTGCTATTTTCCATTCAGTAGAAAGGGGAGAAAGGAAGTAGAGGCAATTAGCTTCCTTTCTAAGGATGCGACCCAGAATCTGAACATATTATTTCTGCTTATACCCATTGGTCAAAATTGACTGAGAAATGTAATCTATAGCTGGGCAACTATGTCTGCTGTGAAAACCATGTGCTCTCCATCCATGAAGGATTAACTGAGTTCAGACTTACTGTCCTGTCACTAACCAACTAGAAAAATTGGATGAGATATAGAAAACAATGTTATTAGACATTGGACAACAGGCAGTACAGACTTGTGATCCTTGATAGATGGAAAATAGATGAGGTGAGTTCTGTGTTTACCCTGGTTTTCTGTCTGGAGAAATTTTCAGATGGTATGAATATAAAAAAGTGACACAAAGCCTGGTGAACTCACTGAACTGAGGAGATAGGAGTTGTAGAGCCTGAGTTGGCTGGAATTGACAACACATGGTACCAAAGAGTAGGGAGCTATGCAGAAATAGTATTCCAGAAATATGCTTAGGGGTCTTGCCGAGTGGAGGATGAAAATTCGTGAGACTAGCTTAGGAACAATTTGTGGAAAAGAACAATTGCCAGGGAACTGTATGGAAAACTGTTCTCAGAGTTTGTCCCATCAGCCAGAGTGGAGAGACTTCACTGAATATATAAGGCTTTCAGGGAAGCCCTGAAGTGTGTAGCTAAACCAGCTCTTAATAAAGCCTACTCTAAATTCATTCCTATAAAAGCTTAAAAATGAGACTAATGTCTATTTTGAGAGAGATGCAATTAGCAGACAAGTAGATTAAAACAGCTATAATAAATATTCAGTATATTCACATTTTAAATGAAAACATAAACAAAATGAGGAGAGAAATAGAGGAAATCAGTCCATCTATCTATCAATCAATAGTCACCACAAAGGAAAATCTATACATAAGCAGAGGATTCAGGAGCATATATAGATTTTCTTCTGTAGTGTCTATTGATTGATAGATACATGGTAGATAGATTGATTTCCTCTACTCCTCATGTTGTTTGTGTGTTCATTTAATCCTTGAGCACATTGACCAGCATCTCTGTCATTTCTTGTTTCTGAGTTTGTTTCTATTGTTGGTTATCTCCAGGTTAATGTTCCATTGCAAAATTCATAATTTTTTACTGAATGCCAGACATTGTTCATTTTACATTGTTGATTGTCAGATTTTGTTGTTTTCCTTTCAGGAGCATTGGGCTTTGTTCTAATAGGCAAATGTTTGTGGATTACATTGATTCTCTTAAGGCTTGTTTTCCTTTCACCTTCCTCTCTTCCTTCTGGGACTCCAAATACACACATATTAGACCATTTGATCACCACCTGTCACTTAAATTCTGCTTTTTCCCTCAGTCTTTTTCTCTTTTTATGCTTCATTTTATTTAATTTCTACTGCAATGAGGAAGGAAGAAAGGAAAGAAATAATGACTAGAACATTCCCATATCTTGATAAAAATTATAAATACACAGATAAGTGAAGTTCAATAAACCCCAAGTCAAAAACAGAAATAAAAAATTACAAAGAAAATGACAGTAGAACCATCATAATTGTCTTGCTAAAAAACAATGATAAAAACATTAAAAATAATGGGAAAAAGGAACCATATACATAGAAAAACTAAGATAAACATCAAACTTCTAATCAGTAACAGTTTAAGCTAGCAGAAAATGGAGCAACATCTTTAAAGTGCTAAAAGAAAAGAAACCAAATTATAATTTTATGCATAGTACAATATCTTTCCAAAGACAAGATCTTTTCAATATCTTTCTGGACATCTTTCTAGAAAATGAAGATTAAACACAGATTTTCTGATCAAATGAAAGCTGATAAAATTCACTGGCATAGAAGTATTTAAAAAATTTCTCAAGCAGAAAGAAAATGAAGTCAGTTGAAAACATGGATTGAATTAAAGGAATAAAGAACGCTACAAATGATAGAATATAAACAAACATAAAAAACATCATATCTTATTTAAAAACTTTTCTTTAGGTATGGACACAGTTGCTCATGCCTGTAATCTCAGCACTTTGGGAGTCCAGGGCAGGCTGATTGCTTGAACTCAGGAGTTTGAGACCAGCCTGGGCAACATGGTGAAGTCCCATCTCTACAAAAAAATGCAAGAGTAGCTGGGCTTGGTGGTGCGTGCCTGTCGTCCCAGCTGCTTGGAGGCTGAGGTGGGAGGATTGCTTGAGTCTGGGAGGTTGAGGCTGCAGTGAACTGTGTTCATGCTATTTAGGTCAATAAATAGATGATGGGAGCCTTAGGGTTAACGGTGACTGTTTTTGTTTGTTCATTTGCTTTTGGTATGGGAGGCATAGATGCATACCTAGAAAAATCACTAAAAATAAAACAAGGCTCTAAAGATAATAAGCCAATAATGGAAGTAAAATTTCATACTCAGAAATCACAGTTCAAGCAAAAATACAAGAAAAATGGCATAAAAAAAGTACAAATGAAACAAGAACACAAACAGCAACATGGTAGCTTTAAATTTAGCTATATCAATAGTTACATTAATGACCTAAAAACTCCTAGATAGCCTATACAATGAGTCACAAAATAATTTTTGATACATTTAAAAGTTTGAAATCATACAGTATATATTCTGACTGTAACAGAATTGACCTAGAAGTTTTATAGAAAGATATTTGGAAAATTTCCAAATATTTGGGAGATATTCAATGTAATTTTGAATACCTGATTGATTAAGAAGAAATCACAGGAAAATTAGAAGACATTTTTAATAGAATAAAAATTTAAAGTATAGCTTATCAAAATGTGTGGGGTATAAAGTAGTAATTAGAAAGAAATTTACAGCATTTAATTCTTTTATTACAGAAGACAGTTTTTAAATTAATAATTTGTGCTTCCACTCTAAGAAGCTAGAAAATCAGAGAAATTAAATCAAAAGCAAGTAGAAAAAAAAATAATAAACATACAGGGAAAATAAATGAAACTAAAATAGGAAAAGAATAGAGAAAATCAATGAAACCAAAACCTTGTTCTCTGAAAAATATCAATAAAATTGATTAACATTTAGGTAGACTGATAGGAAAACAGAGAAGACTATTTACTAAGAAGGAATACAAGGGGGTCATCACTATATCTTACAAATATTAAAATGATAAAGGAATATTATGAATAGGTCAATGAATTTGGCAACCCTGATGAACTAGATAAATTTTCAAAAAGTACAAATTACCAAAATCAGCTCAAGAAGAAATTGAAAACTTAAATATCAAGGTACAAAATAAATTCCACTAATAGGCATTTATTAAAAGAAATATAATATTTTATACAAAGAATTTTTTTATAGCAACTCCATTTATAATAGCCTGGAAACAACCCAAATGATGAGCAGAGAAATCAGCTGAAATGGAAATGGGCAATTCTTAAGCAATAAAAAACTATACTGATACACACAAAATATGTATGAATCTCAAAAATATGGTGCTGAGTGAAAGCCGACACATTGTAAAAGAGTACAATTGACCCTTGAACAACATGAGTTTTGAACTTCATGAGTCCGCTTATATTTACTGGATGCAAAATCCACCTTTACGGGGGGCCACCTTTTCATACAGGCAGGTGTTACAAGACTGACTGTGGGACTTGATTATGCCCAGATTTTGACATGTACAGGGGTCTTAGAACCAACTGCCTGCATACACTGAGAGGCTACTGCTTAAAATTTCATTTATATGTAAGTTTAGAAGTACCTAATCTATACAGAGAGAAAGATCAGTAGTTGTGGAGACCAGGAGTTGGTGAAATACTCAGTATCTTGATCATGGTGGTAATAACACGGATGTGTATATTTGTTAATAGTTACCAAACTATACATTTTAAATGGGTGCATTATGTTGTATATAAACTATTTCTTTATATGTTGACTTTTGAAAAATGATAAAAGAAAATTTGGTAGGGATGTGTGTCCGGGGTGAGGATGGGGAATGAAGGAGCATGGAAAGTTCTTTCCTAAAAAGAATAAGGAAAGAATCGATGCTGAGGTCTTTGCTACAGGCATGCTGAATTTTAGCTTTCTAAAGAACATCCAAATTGAGACAGACGTAAGAAGGTGGCTGGCTAAGTTTTGAAATCAAAAGAAAGATCTGTTTTGGAGAGACAGACTTGAAGTCATCTGTATATAGATAGTACTTGAAATTTAGGACTGGATGAGATTTCCTAAGGGACAAATGTAGATGTGGAAGAGAATAGAGCCCAGGACATAATCCTGAGGGTGAATAACATAAAAGGAGTTGCCACAGGAAGAGGATCCTACAGAAAGGTAGGATTAAAAATTTCAAGTTGGGATGCTGAGGGGCACTCTTTGTTTCAACAAAGAAGAGGTCTGCATTGCCAAGTACTTCCGACCTGATCTACAATGTGTCCACTGCATTTAGCTATTTAGGTCGATAAATAGATGATGGGAGCCTTAGGGTTAACGGTGACTGTTTTTGTTTGTTCATTTGCTTTTGGTATGGGAGGCATAGGAGCATGTTTAAATGCTGATAAGAATGAAGCAATAGGGAAGCATAGTGAAGAGAGTAACTCAGTAATAAATTCCTTGGGAGGCAGGAAGGGGTGGGATCTGGAGCCAATGTGGAGAGATTATCCTTAGATAAGAAGAGGAACATTCATCCTATTTTATCAGGATTGAAGGTGGAAGGAATAGGTGGGGATGCATTTGGGTTAGTGCATTTGATGGCAGAAAGTTGAGAGGATGGATAAGATCTACTGAGGCCTCTTCTAAATCTGAGATGCTGTGATCTGTGCTTCTGCAGGGCACCACACAGGTTGGAGAATGGGCAGAGAGAACAGCTTAAATTCTTCCCAACTAATAGTCTTTCTATTGGTCTGATTCTGTAACAGGGATGATCAACATTTTACATGGAATGGGTTTAAGGCTCCTTGCTTTGGGACATCACACACCTTTTATGGTGAGAGATGTTTATTTTGCTTATTTTTTTGAAAACACATCTCACACCTTAAGAATAAAAAAATGCTGAGCTGGTGGACTAACTTGAGTTGTGTATGTTTATTTTCAGCACATTGGCATGGCTCATAACTACAGGAATAGCAGTCAGGCTGTGCAAGCTGTTCGTGATGCTGGCTATGAAATATCTTTGGGTTTGATGCCTAAGTCAATAGGGCCCTTAACATTTGTGTTCACAGGAACTGGTAATGTTTCTAAGGTAAGTTTTACCTGACTTCCTTTTGTAAAACAATCCAAAACTGTGAAACTAACCCAAATGATGTGGGCAGGCATTTTGTGGGTATTTCAAATGGACTGAATGAAGATTCTGTTTTTGGCACTTTTCTTACCAATGTATTTTTCTCATAGTGAAAAGTAGTAATGATCCAAATATGTGTGTGTGTGTATGTATGTGTGTGTATATATATGTGTGTGCGTGTGTGTGTGTATGTGTAAGTGTATATGTGTGTATATCTATACACACATACATGCACACATACAGTTTTTTTTTTTGTTTTTTTTTTGTTGAGACGGAGTCTCGCTCTGTCGCCCAGGCTGGAGTGCAGTGGCTGGATCTCAGCATGCAAGCTCCGCCTCCCGGGTTCACGCCATTCTCCTGCCTCAGCCTCCCGAGGAGCTGGGACTACAGGCGCCCGCCACCTCGCCCGGCTAGTTTTTTGTATTTTTTTAGTAGAGACGGGGTTTCACCGTGTTAGCCAGGATGGTCTCGATCTCCCGACCTCGTGATCCGCCCGTCTCGGCCTCCCAAAGTGCTGGGATTACAGGCTTGAGCCACCGCGCCCGGCCGCACACATACAGTTTTTAGTTTATTGCTAGCTATCTGAGTCTTGGAATGCTTTTTCTTCCTTTCTTTTTCCTTTTATAAAAGAGATAATTTGGCCAGGCACGGTGGCTCACGCCTATAATCCCCGTACTTTGGGAGGCTGAGGCAGGCGGATCAACTGAGGTCAGGAGTTTGAGGCCAACCTGGCCAATATGGTAAAACACCATCTACATCAAAACTACAAAAATTAGCCAGGCCTGGTGGTGCACACCCATAATCCCAGCTACTAAAGAGGCTGAGGCAGGAGAAGCGCTTGAACCCGGGAGGCAAACGTTGCAGTGAGCCGAGATCGCACCACTGCACTCCAGCCTGGGTGACAGAGCGAGACTCCATCTCAAAATAAAATAAAATAAATAAGATAATTCATTGTTAATAGTGTAAAGGTCTGTTCTGAGGGTGATCTGTTTTACCTCTGTCACCAAAATGTCCATGAGTTTGAAAGTGACCTCACGATGTCCATTTTTTAAGACTACTTGGAGTTTTGCAAAAAAGATGTTAGGAAAATTCATTTAAGACTGGAATTCATAATTTCTTCCTTCTCTGGTGGTTTTAAGAATGTGTTTGTAATCTCCTATAGAAACTTGTAGTTGTAAAATAATTCCTTCTTCAAAGAAAATATTTTGCAAATAGGATATCATTCATATTATATTGTGAGGTAAGCATCCGATTATTTCTTTTGTAGGGAATATAGTTTCCCCATTTGGAATAATTTCTGCAATGGATCTAAAATAAATGGAAATATTTTTGCCCTCATTTCTAAACACTCTTATTGATACTGAGTAGCTTAATAAAAAAGAAAAAAATTAAAGCGCCTTCTAAGTGTGCTGTTCAAACAGGAATAAAAACTAGCTGGCAGATTTGTTGTAAGCAGCTCATCTATATTTCTGTGTTGCAGTCCTGGTTGTAGGGAAGGCAAGTGGAGCTGTATAATTGTTGGGAAAATGATCAGATCTTTGCAGGAAACCATGTTGGTTCTTTTTCTATTGATGTTTGGATTTTTACTCGTGTGTTATTTGTAGGGAGCCCAAGCAATCTTTAATGAGCTACCTTGTGAATATGTGGAGCCCCATGAATTAAAAGAAGTTTCCCAAACTGGAGGTAAAGGACAGGGGATGACTAACTTTTAATGTTTTTAATTGTCTGTGCTATATTTTATCACCATACATTTTCATTATTTGTCACCCACTTTACTAATTTCTTTCTCCTTTGCAAGACCTCAGAAAAGTGTATGGGACGGTGTTAAGTCGTCATCATCATCTTGTCAGGAAAACAGATGGTGTGTATGATCCTGCAGAGTATGACAAACATCCTGAGCGCTACATAAGTCGTTTTAATACTGATGTGAGTATCATGTTCAGCTTTTAAGTTGGTTGCTTATGATACAGTGTAGGTAGGCAATTTTCAAGGAGAGAAATTATAAATTATACATTGGCTTTCGGTTTTCCTGTTGTGAGTCCTTTGGGTACCATGAGTTGGCCTTTGGAGCTATCATCTTTTAGGGGTATTTGGAGTAGTCTTGCTTCGTGCTTTTGGTGGTTTCTGTGGATATACTCTTTGTTTCACTGTCTCCATTTCTGCTTCAGGTCTGCATGTGACCAATAGCTCTAAGCCATTTCCTGTGGGTTACTGTTTTCTATGTTTATCCTGGACTAGTTAGCACTGTGGGCAGAGCACAATGCCTATGACGTTTGGTCTCAACATGGCCACAAATTACAACCATAATCTCAGCCAGCAATCCTGAAATGCATGCCATTGTTTACGGGGAGTGAGGGTGAAATAGTGTGCCTACATAAGTGCAGACCACCCCCACTGTATGAAAAAGCTATTATACTTACAAATCAAATCCTTCGATGGGACACACTGGCTTTATCTTTTAAGAAATAAAATATATTTGTGTGTTCTATAGTCATTGGCCATGCGACAATCTTCCCCCAGATAAACTAACAAACCAAAAAATAGATAAAACAAAAAAGGCATGCTTTTATTGTGAAAAAGAATGCTTTAAATAATTTTAAATATGTTTGACCAACATAGCATTTTCAGATTCTGGTATGAAGTTTAGTCCTTATATCATGCAGGGCATGTTAGAGAGAACTCTTACCTTCTGCTTGAGATGTTTGAAGAAGAAAAATTATGAACGTAGTTTCCATCTGAAAAATTTTGAATCTAAGAAATCTTTATTCCTTTTCATTTCCCCAATCACCGAAGTATTGGTGATTGGACACATCCTAAAACTGATACTGACCTAGTTGCCATGTATGCATGTATGTAGCATATTGCTCCATAGAGCTTACAGATGTTATCCGATTTAATCTTCACAGCATTCCTTTGAGGAATGGGGTGTGTATTATCCCCATCTGGCAGGTAAGAAAAATAGAGCCCAGGGAAGTTGAGGTAGCATGATTTAGGTCATACCCTACTGCTAGTAGAGCTGGAAATATAATTTTAGGTCCACTTTTTTTTGTTTGTTTTGTTTTGTTTTTGTCCTTTCATTTTTCTTTGGCATGCAATACATTAAAGAATGAACATAATAATGATTTTTTTTTTTTTTTTTTTTTTTTCTAGGCTGGAGTTCAGTGGCGCAATCTCAGCTCACTGCAAGCTCCGCCTCCTGGGTTCACGCCATTCTCCTGCCTCAGCCTCCTGAGTAACTAGGGCTACAGGTGCCCGCCACCACACCCGGCTAATTTTTTGTATTTTTAGTAGAGGCGGGATTTCACCATGTTAACCAGGATGGTCTCGATCTCCTGACCTTGTGATCCACCCGCCTCGGCCTCCCAAAGTGCTGGGATTATAGGCGTGAGTCACTGGGCTCAGCCAATAATGTATTTATAGTCATATATTGCTCTGTCATGGGGTAATTCTACACTGAAATCTGGGTGTCTATTTATTATCTTTGCCTCAAAAGATGGACACTGACATGGACAATAAGAAAATCAATTAGAAGTTACATTTAATTATTTCCCATAGACTTTCCTGATAGCTCTCTTTCACTATACTTTATTAAAATAAGTTATTTTTCTATTTTCTTGAACCTGGAACTTGCATTACAGATTGCACCCTATACAACTTGCTTAATTAATGGAATCTACTGGGAACAAAACACTCCTCGCCTCCTAACCCGCCAAGATGCTCAGAGTCTCCTGGCTCCAGGCAAGTTCTCAGCTGCTGGTGTGGAAGGCTGCCCTTCATTACCACACAAGTAAGGACTCTACTTCAGCAACGATGGTAGTTTTGACCAGCTGCTTCCATTATTAGAGGATCAAAGAATGTAATGTCCCCACATATCACAGGACTTGATTTCTAATGACTACTTCTCTGCCTTATCTTTCTTGACCTCTTGGCAGTAGTCGACACTGTTAACCATCCTTCCTTCTTTTTAAAAAAATTGTATTGTATATATTTATTTTCAGAGATGGGGTCTTGTTATGTTTCCCAGGCTGGTCTAAATCTCTGGGTCCCAAGCAGACCTCCTGCCTTGGCCTCCCAAGGTGCTAGGATTATAGGCATGAGCCACCATGCTCAGCCCATCCCCAGTTGTTGAAACACTCTTCTTTTGCCTTCTGTGATGCCCCATGCCGCTCTGAAACTATTTCCTCAGAGAAGTCTTCTCTTACTCCTCCATTCTCATCTCTATCTCTAGTCTGGTACTCTGTTTTCTGTTTTGAAATTCCTCATTTATTTTCTCGTGTTTATTATTTTTCTCCCTCTTCCTAGAACTTAATCTCCTTAAGGATAGGGGGTCTGTTTCTCTTGGCGGTAAGCACCTAGTATGTTGCCTGATATATAATAGGCATTGAAAAAATTATTAAATATTGAATGAATTAATGACTAAATATTTGTGGAAGAGTAAAAGATACGTTTGCTTTTCTAGGCATGTAACTGGCATCAAGTAAATGCCAAAGGAATGCTAGGAGCAACAACATCACTGGGGTTTAGAAGAAAGCAGAAGCATTGAGCTCAGCAAACCTTAAAGGGAGGAATGAGGAGAACAAGAATTCCAAGTGAAAGAATTGGTGCTTAATAAATATGGAGCTACCAAAGCATATTTAGGGTGCTGAATGTGTCAGTCTAGCTCTGCATTGGTTCATGTATGCAAGTGGTAATTGGAGATTGGGCAGAAAAATTAGAGTCAACCTTTTGAATACTGGACTGAGACTTTTGTTCATAATTCTAGAGATTTCTGTGTAACCACATATAAAACTCTACAGTACTAAGCAGGGTGGAGGTAGCATAATTGAACGTTTCTGAGTTATTTAGGGATAGCTAACTATGTTAACTTTAGTCTCTTAATGATTTTTCTAGGAAAGCAATGTTCTGCTTTTATTTCCTTTTTTCTTTTCTTTTCTTTCTTTCTTTCTTTTTTTTTTTTTTGTGGAGAGTAAAACTCATACTGGGAAGATTCTCTGTATCACAGAACAGTGCAGAGTCCTGAAGAATGAGCTATAGGAAAAAGACCCCAAAAGCCTGGGAAATATTTAGGATCCGTGTTGAAAATTGTTCTGAACTCCTTTTTTTTAGTCTTGTTGGAGACTTCAGAATTTCATCCTCTCATCGAAGTATTGATGTTATTTTCAGACTTGTGGCAATATGTGACATTTCAGCTGACACAGGAGGGTCTATAGAGTTTATGACTGAGTGTACAACAATAGAGCGTCCCTTTTGCATGTATGATGCAGACCAGCATATTATTCATGACAGGTGAGTTTGCTAAAGTTGTTAGATGATATTCATCACTTAGTTACATAGATATACTACTCTAAAATGCTTAATATTTTACATCTTTATGAAGCTATGAAAATTTGGAGAGATATACTCAAATATACTAAAATTAGGTTAAGAAACATGCAAATTTGAACACACACACACACACACAAAGACACACACACATATATTTAAATGGGAGACGGGTTGCTGAAGAAGGAAAATGGTTTGAAAAGTTTTGTTTATTTTTGCATGTACTTTTATACAAAATTACAAATGATAATGAAGCAAATATAACGAAGTAGACATCTGGAAAAGTCAGAACTTACAAATAATGTTTTGTGCTACTGAATAAACCACATTGCTTCTCTTAGTGTTGAAGGCTCGGGGATCCTGATGTGTTCCATTGACAATTTGCCAGCACAGCTCCCAATTGAAGCCACAGAATGCTTTGGAGACATGCTTTACCCTTATGTTGAAGAAATGGTAAGCAGACTAGTAATATCAGTAACAACTCTGTGGCTTTAAATAGTATAATGGGGTAATTCTGTGAATGTTCTGGTCTTCTGTATCTAAGAAATCTGTTGTAAAATGAAATGCCCGCCCTTCCCTGAAATACTTACTGATACTATTTTATTTGACATGTTCTGCTTACTTGTCTCTTGGGGCATATGATGATATCACTGCCTTCATGCTTAATTACAATTACATCTCTTTCCCATTATAGGTATTTTATTAAGAATGTTAACCATGTGTGAGATAAAATATGCCTTATTTTTAATTATTTGCCATCTATGTCAGTTCATATTGGGGCACTCTTATTGTGCCATAATAACTAGATCTGAAAAATTAGAAATATAGAACGTTTTATTGGGTTCTGGTCACTAATGGTTAAGTGACAGCTTATGTTGAGGTCATGTATTTTTCTTCTGTGATCTGTGAACAGCTAATGAAATACCATGTTATCTAAATTCCATTTTGTTTATCAAAGAAAATTTTTCTTATTTCAGTTTTTATCCTAAGCATTCATAGCCTTCCTGCTTTATTTTTATTTCAGAATGTCTGCCTCTGCCAATGATTTCAATATAAAGAATGGCTCTTGCTCTTTTCATCTATATCTTCCCTCATAAGCTCTCACATTAAAATAGAACAATAGTTAGTGGGGCAAGAGTAAATGAAATTTCCAGTCTGTGATCTTCTTTTCTTTCAAACGGTATTCCATTTTGACCCTTTCTTTTTCCTATTGGAATATGTCAACAGGGAGATGTAGCAGGCCTGACAAAATGCGGGCAGCAGACACTGTCATGGTTAGACATATGGCACCTACTATGTGCAGGAAGTGTTCAAAGTACTAAATATATTTTAATTTTAAGTACTCATGAGAACCATGTTAGGTAAGTACCATCATTATATCCATTTTACACATTATAAAACAAATACAGAGAAGTTAAGGACGTGTTGCTGATGCAGTCAGTACTGGATCTGCAATGTGTCTGGAGTTGGTGCTGAGGGATTAAAGAAGCAGGAGAAGGAGAGTACAAATGCCAGGCTTTGCTGGAGACATCAACTTGCTTTATGGCCTTGAGCAGGGCACTCACTTCCTTTCTGAGCCTCAGATATTTCATCTGTAACGTGAGGTGGTTGTAATGAACGTAATATCTTATTTTATTTTATTTTATTTATTTATTTTTTGAGACAGAGTCTCACCCTGTCGCCCAGGCTGGAGTGCAGTGACGCAATCGTGGCTCACTGCAACCTCCACCTCCCAGGTTCAAGCGATTCTTCCTGCCTCAGCCTCCCGAGTAGCCAGGACCACAGGTGCGTGTCACCACGCCTGGCTAATTTTTGTAGTTTTTAGTAAAGACGGGGTTTCACCATGTTGACCAGGCTAGTCTTGAACTCCTGACCTCATGATCCACCTGCCTCAGCCTCCCAAATGCTGGGATTACAGGCGTGAGCCGCCATGCCCAGCCATGAATACATAATCTTAACAGTTTCTCCACTTCTAAAATTTTATAATGGTAAATGTTTAACTGGCCAAACTGTATGTGTATAAAAAATGCAATAATATATTTACCAAGATGTTTACCATTTTTGATGTTCTTCATTCATTTCCCTTTGGTATCATTTCCCTGCCGACTGAATAACTTGGTTTATCACTTCTTATAGTACAGGTTTGCTGGTGACAGATTCTCTGAGTTGTCCTTTATCCGAAAATGTCTTCATATTCTCTATTCTGCTAATCAGACTTTTCTGTGCATTTTTAATTTCCAATGTTCTATTTTCAGTTCTAGAATTTCCGTTGGGTTCCTTTTTAAAAATTTCATTTTGGTATTTTGTCTTTCTCTGCAGAGAGTTTCTATCTTTTCATTAATTATGAGTGTATTTTTCATTATTGCATGGAACATAGTTATAAAAACCACTTTACAATCTTTATCTCATACTTCCAACTTTCTGGGTCAATTTGTGGTTGGACTTTATTGATTGTCTTTTCCCTTGAGAATTGATCATAGTCTTCTGGTTTTCATAGATTGAATAATTCTGGATTATGGCCTGGATGATGTGGATATTATGTACATTTATCAAATGCATTTTCTGTATTCATTGAGAAGATCATTTTTTCCTTTTCTCTGTTAATATGTGAATTTTGTCAATTGGTTTTCCAATATCAAACTAACTTCACATTCTTAGGATAAATCCAACTTGGTTGTATGTTAGCCGTTTGTTTATGACTAAGTTCAGGTTGCTAAGGAATATACCAAAATTTCTTAATCTATTTTACCATTGATAGACATTTGGGGTTGTTTTCTTTTTGGGGCTTTTACTAATAATTCTACTATAAAGATTTTTGACATGTGTTTTGAGATATATATATATATATATATATATATGTATCTCCCCATTATTTTGTTGAGTTTGTACATAAATTTATCTTGTTTAGGATTATTAACATCTATGTTCATTAGAGAGTTTTATCTATAACTTTATTTTATTATCAGGTCTTTGTCAGGTTTGGATATTAAGGTTATGTTGGCCTTAAAACAAGTTAGAGAGTATTTCCTTATTTTTGGTCTCAGGAACATTTTACATGAGATTACTGTTAGTTCTACTTGATACAATTTATTAGCAAAATGATTTGGATTGGTAGCATTTTTGTTTGTTTCTTTTTTTGGTTTTAAGGGTGAGTTTTAAAATTATAGGTTACATTTTATTTAAAAACTTAAGAATGTTCAGACTTTTATTTTTCTTCTGTCAATTTTGGTATGCTTATTTTCTAGGAATTTATATTTCATCTAAGTTGTAAACTTTATTGTCACAATATTGTTTTAGTAATAATCTTATTAACTCTTTAACAGATTCTGTAGGGATTTCTCTTTTTCCTGATGTTGTTCAGGTATGCCTTCTGTTTTTTCTTAATCTGTTTTACCTGGAATTGATCAATTTTATTAGTCATCTCAAAAAATCAGTTCAACTTTGGTGATCATCTCTATTTTATATCATTTTCTATTTTCTTAATTTATAATCTTACCTTTACTATATTCTTTATTTTACTTGATTGAGTGCTTAGTTAACCTTTCTTTTCATAACTTCTTGCAATAGTGCTTAGGTAATTATTTTTCTGTGTTTCTCTTTAGCAATATATGCATTTTAAAGCTATTAGATTTGATTTGAGTATGGCCCATTTTTGATTGTATTATTTGTTGTTTTGTTATTGAGTTCTTTGACTTTCTTGTATATTCTGGGTATTACTTCCTTGTGAGATGTATGGTTTGCAAATACTTTCTCCCATTCTGTTGTTTCTTCACTCAATTGATTTTTTGTTTGCTTGTTTGTTTTGTTGTGCAGAAGCTTTTTAGTTTGATGTAATTCCATTTGTCTATTTTTGGGTTTTGTGCTTGTACTTTTGAGTTCTTATCCAAAAAATTCTTAACCAGGTCAATGTCATGAAGCATTTCCCCTATGTTGTGTTTTTCTTTTTTTTCTAGGAGTTTCATAGTTTTAGGTCTTCCATTAAAGTGTTTAATCCATTTTGAGTTTTTTTAATATGACGAGAAATAGGCCATCTAGTTTTATTCTTCTGAATGTAGATATCCAATTTTCCCGGCACCATTTATTGAAGAGACTCTTCTTCCCTTAGTGTTTGTTCTTGACACTTTTCTCCAAAACTGGTTGGATACAGATGTATGGATTTCTTTCTGGGCTTGCTTTTCTGTTCCATTGGTTTATATGTCTGCTGTTATGCCAGTACCATGCTGTTTTGGTTACTATAGCTTTGTGGTATATTTTGAAGTCAGGTAGTGTGATGCCTCCAGTTTCGTTGTTTTTGCTAAAGATTGTGTGATGATCTGAGGTCTTTTGTGATTTCATAGTAGTTTTAGGATTTTCTTTTCTATTTCTGTGAAGATTGTCTTTTTTTTTTTTTTTTTGATAAGGATTGCCCTGAATTCGTAGATTGCTTTGGGTAGTATGGGCATTTTAAAATATAAATTCTTCCAATCCATGAACATGGGAATATCTTTACATTTGTTTTTGTTTTCTTCAATGTCTTTCATCAATGTTTTACAGTTTTTAGTGTAGAGATCTTTCGTTTCCTTGGTTAAATTTATTCTTACGCATCTTATTTTTATTGTGGCTATTGGAAATGGGATTTTTTTTCAGATTGTTTACTGTTGGCATATATAAATGCTACTAATTTTTGTATGTTGGTTTTGTATTCTGCAACTTTACTAAATTTGTTTATCAGTTCTAACAGTGTTTTGATGGAGTCTTTAGGGTTTTCTATATATAAGATTTTGTCATCTGCAAACAAGGACAATTTGACTTCCTGCTTTCCAATTTGGATGCCTTTGTTTTCTTTTTTTTGCCTAGTTACACTGACTAGAACATCCAGTACTATGTTGAATAGTAGCATCCTTTTCTTGTTCTACATCTTAGAGAAAAAGCTTTCAATTTTCCGTGATTAGTATGATGTTAGCTGTGGGTTTGTCATATATCTTTTATTATGTTGACATATTTACCCTCTATGCCTAATTTGATGAAAGTTTTTATCATAAAGTGATGTTGAATTTGTCAAATACTTTTTTTCAGTTTCCGTTGGAAGAATCACATGGTTTTTGTCCCTCATTCTGTTAATGTGATAAATTATGTTTATTAATTTGCATATGTTGAACCATCCTTGCACCCCTGGAAAGAATCCCATTTATTATGGTGAATGCTCTTTTAAATATGCTGTTAAATTTGGTTTTCTAGTATTTTGTTGGAAATTTTTGCATCTATATTCTTTAGGGATATTGGCCTGAAGCTTACATTTTTTGTTATGTCCTTGTCTGATTTTGGTATCACATTAACACTGGCCTCATATAATTAGTTTGGAAGAATTTCCTCCTCCTTGATATTCTGGAATAGTTTGAGAAGAATTGGTGTTAATTCTTCTTTAAATGTTTGGTAGAGTTCAGTAGTGAAACCATCAGGTCCTGGGCTTTCCT